TATATATATGTAAGTAGGGCCACATATGTGCTAATGAGGAGGGACATCAAAAACAAAGAAATATTCTGTTTACCCAAAATTTATAAAGAAGAGTAGTGCTAACAACAATCCTTGCTTTATCACTTTCTAGTTAGGCAAGTTATCCCAACTAGATATAAGCTTCAGGACAGCAGAGACCATACCGGATCTCTTCACCACTGCAAACCTGGTGCTTGACATACTAGAAAGCAGAAAATAAAAATTTGTTGAATCAAGCTGGAGGACTCAGCACCTGGGGAGGCTGAGGCAGGAGGATCACAAGTTCAAGACCAGCCTCAGCAATTTAGTGAGACCCTGTCTCAAAATACAAAAATTAAAAGGACTAGGAATATAGTTCAGTAGTAAAGTTTTCCTGGGTTCAATCCCAGAACAAGAAAAAAAAAATGTTGAATCAATTTAATGTAAACTCTCAGTCTCAGTTTCCTCTGGATCAAATAAGATAAAGTAGGTAAAGAGTCTAGTATTGTCCCTGGCTAAAGTACTTAGGGAATCATTTAACAAGGGTTTAATTAACAGGAAGGGGTGATCTCACCAACCTTGTAGTCTCTTTTTTTTTCACCCTTGATACTGGGGATTGAACTTGGGGGGGTGCTTTATCACTGAGCCATATCCCTAATCCTTTTTATTTTGAGACAGGGTCTCTCTAAGTTGCCAAGGCTAGTCTCCAACTTGGGATCCTAATGCCTCAGCCTGTCAATTCCCAGCTTCCACAGGTTCTCATGAAAAGGAACAGGCTAAAAAAGAAAAAAAAAAGAACAGGTTGGGTACAGTGGGTACACACCTGTAATCCCAGTGACTGAGGAGGCTGAGGCAGAAGAATTGCAAATTCAAGGCCAACCTCAACAATTTAGTGAAACCCTGACTCAAAATAAAAAATAAAAATAAAAAGGGTGGGAAGGGTTGGGGATGTAACTCAGTGGTAAAGCATCCCTAGGTATGATCCCCAGTACTACCAAATAAAAAAAAGGACAAAGGGCAGCTAGTTCCTCACCTTGTAGACACCAACTTAAATGACTAGATTTCTTTATTTGGAGCTATGAAACTTTCTACTTTATCCTTATTAAATGCTGATAAGAAGCCCGTGGATAACTAAGCCTCAGCCACTTCCTTTCACATTCATCACCCCATTTAGCTGAATACAAGTCTCTTTCAAACCTAACTGAAGATGAAAATCAAAAGCTTACTCGGGACTGGGTCTGTAGCTCAGTGGCAGAGCACTTGCCTAGCATGTGTGAGGCACTGGGATTGATCCTCAGCACCACATTTTTAAAAATAAATAAATAAAGGCGTGCTGTCCGTCTACAACTATATATAAAAAAATAAATAAGTAAAAATAAAGCTTACTTGAGTTTTGCATAGATTTACATATAATTACTGTGATTTTCTATTAACATAACCTTTCTAAAAACAGCAAAACAAAACAAACAAACAAAATAGGTTGTATATCTTTTGAGAAGTAGAATCCAGCTTTGCCCAAGCCTCTGCTTGATATGGTTGGGGTTTTTTACCAATGCCATTGCTCCTCCAGTCACAGAGAAACCCACCATCATGCTGCCTGGCCCATCTGTTTCCCATCACTGCTGGAAGCCACAGTAAACATGATGAGTACCAGCTGGAAAGTGGAGAAAAACTCAATGCTGGAGTCTGGTCTGAATGACTCTTTCTGCTCACTTGTGAGACCAGAGATGCTAGGACTAGGGGTAAGAGGACACATAACCCTTTTACTGCCCATCGGGCCCCGCAGTTCCAGGGTGTTGCTATTGGGAGTAC